TCACGGTACCCGTGAGGCTGGGTAATGAGAAGCGATCCCTGTTTGCCTTGCGGACAATCACGTAGCATCCGCAATCACAGGAGTGGATTTGTTGAAAACCCCCTCCAAAGGAAGCCAAAAAGGGAGACGCCTTTTGGTCCAAGCGCGGTTCGGTTTTTTTCCCCAGGAAAGCTCTAAAGCTCAGGTTATCATTTTTGAATGAGTTCTTACCCCCCCAACAACAGCAAACAGAGAGAACCACCTGCCGTAAAACACACACACACACACACTCCATGAGTTCCTGGACTTTATACTTTTTGGGTTTGGACCATGTCAGTGGAACACACCATGTTCGGACTTTGTTTGGCCAATCCGCTCGATCGGAGGTGAGAGTCTCCTTAATAGAGGGACATGTTTTTTCAACCAACTTCAGACGGGATGATCCCGAGATTCCACCCTCTTCCAACCAGATTCTTGGCGCCGGGACCCAACAAAATCCAGAGCAAAATTGTATAGCAGCATTTTCCGTGTTGTGCGTGGTTTTCTTGTTTGTTTGGGATATGTGATATGAGCAAGTTCCCCTCTAAAAGATCATGCACCAGTTCCAATTGTTTGTTTCTTGAGTTTCCCGAAAGAAACCAACAGGAGTGCTTGCTTCTGTGTTCCAGAGCCCAACTTTGCCCGGTATTCGCCATTTGGTGCTGAGGATAAGAACGAGTGCTCGACACGCGAGTTTGCCTTCGTCCGGCCTCATGCTCCCTTCAACAAGAATCGTCGGGGTCGCTACATCTTCTACCTGTGCCCGCTTTACATGAGATCAAAGAAGGATGCTCAGATCAACACCCTCACTCATGAGGCAGGCATTGCTGGATCCATGCAGCCGTGACAGCTTAAGCAATTGCCGGGGGTGTTCTTCTTTGCAATACCCAGAAACGGTTTCGACATCCCAGTTGGCCAAAACAAATGGAACCCTGTTTGAGGCTGACCATTTTCTGCGGGAACTTGCCAAACCACGAGAGATGTACCTGGGTGCCGTTGAACCACTGGGTCAAAGAGTGACATGCATATGGGAGTGCGGTGGATTCTCAATCCAGGGAACCAATCGCAAAACCGAAGAGCCTGGTTTCCCCCACTTGCAAGATGTCGTTCTGCATATGGCGGGCGTGTCTGTTAGTCAAGGGGGGCCCTTGACTATGGCGGCAGTTCCTGGTCGTTTTGCTTTGAAAGGGGTGCCAAATAAACGGAGCCGCTCTTGGATGTCCGGCCAAGCTAGTACGTGCTTAGCCCCCTGTGTTTCAACCCACTTTTTCATCCCAAGCTCTCCACTTCGCGTTTGGGACTGCTCAGCGGGTGAAAAAACCTGTCCACCACCCAAGCACCCGTTCGCGAGACTCGAGGCTTGGCCTACAACCGCGGCTTTCTTTTGTGGTGGTACTGTGGATGGATGGAGGAAAACCATTTCGCACCACTTTGAAATTATGGTTGAAGCCATGACGTTTGTTGCTATCTTCAGGATCCCGAATCGAATTCTTCCCGGTTTCCGAACGGTGCCTAAGAGGATTTTGCAACCATCCACAGTTTCGGGATGGAGACTCAGCCCAAGAGCCGCCCCGAACCCCGAAGCGGTCGGATTTTATCGGGATGTGACAAGGCGTCGCACCACGAGAACATGTTCACCGACGACATGTGCCAAGACGGCTCTACCAAGAAGAAGTGCGAGAGGGCCTACGGACGGACCGCCTGCAAGATGCTCGCTCGTTTCAAAGGGAAGGCTTCAACGGGTTGGCTCTCACATCCCAATCCAACCACTAAAATAGATTCTAAAATGGGTGGTGCACCTACCCCAAAATGGTACCATTGGTTTTGACCCACAGCCATATGGCCATGGGTCATACCGTATATGCCACATTCCATTTTGGGGCAGAGGAACACCCATGTACCACCTATTTTGATGTTCACCAGGCACACAGGGTTTTGACCCACAACCATATCTTCTTTTTTGGGTTAAACGGGGATTTTATCACTGGGTTCCGCTGGGTTCTGCCAGGGTTTTTTAGCGAGTTCTATCACCTGGGCTTATTTTTCCTGGTTGGTTTTGAGGGGGATTTATCACTACTGGACATATTTCCCCATTCCCCAATAGCTGAAAGCTAAGGGGTCTCAGCCCAGATGAGGTTTGGCTCGGGGAGGTTCAAACAAGGTTCCGGTGTGGGTGCAGGCCAGGTGTAAGGTTCCGGAGGTTTCGGGGTGGTTTGGCGCAGGCCGTTCTAAGGCCCAATGGTTCTGGACGTGGCCAGGTGCAAGAGGGTTCCGGTTCCGGGTGCCGAATTGGTCTGGCGCAGGGTGAAAGGTTCCGAGGTTGCGAGAGGTTCAGCGAGGGCTCTGGGATGGTCGGCCCCACAGTAAGGTTCAGCAGGGTTCCGAGGGTCGCAAAGGAGCACCGCCTGCTGTTGAGGATATTTCTCATTTTTCGGGGGGGGGGGGGGGGGGCCTGATTCTAACCTATCTACTGGGGAACCTACTGTTGCGGAGGCACATGCGCGTCCAGTGGTAGGCGCTTTTGCCCGGAAAGGCGCCGACCGCTAAGGACGTTGGCCAGGAATGAGCCAGAGTCCGCGCAGAAGAACGCGGACAACTACTGCTTTTTCATCAATGATGCTTCTTGGGCTTCGAAGCAGAGCACGCTTCATAGGAGCGAAAACCCATGTAGGTCCCTTACTTGCATTCCTTGTTTCAGGTGCGTTATTGTCATCGTAATTTGCCCCTTGGGCTTCCAATCAGCGTGGCGTTTTGCAGAAAGGGAAGTGCGAATGAGATTTCCTCAGGACCCACTTTACATGAAGGGAAAGTCAGAGTCACAAGTTGGCGCGGACGACCTCGTTCATGGTTCGGGTAGGACCCCTTTATCAGGATCACAGGTGCCCTTTTTGGTTGCTTTGGTCGAAAATAGATAGGTTTCCCTGGTTTACCTGGTTTAATCATCTACCAGGGCCGTCTATTTGTTCTAAAAGGACCCCAACAGTGGATGGACAAAAATTCTGCAGCAACTTGAATCCATGGGAATCCAGTATGTGTTGGTATTTTGCAGGGGAGTCATCATCTCAGGATTGGTGACTCAAATAGAGCTGGGAAGCGTAGTGGCTCCCAGCGCTGGAGGAACACGCTTTTTGAATGTGAGACGTACACTCCCTGCCATAATCTTAGAACTACAAGAAACTTTTTTTGTTTGGGGGTTCCAGGTTAGTAGAAGCTCCATGATTGTTTTCTGAATATTTCCCTGGGTTCCAAGATTATGGACCAGAGAGTAGTGAGGCTCCCTTCCTGACAAGCACTGCAGTGAGTGCTCCAGACGGAGCAACCAGCACATGGGCAGGTTAGTGGATTTGCTTCAAGTCCCTGGCAGCGTTTGTACTTCCAACCCTTGATTTCGGAAGTGCGCAGGAAAAGTTGAAAAGTATGCGGGGCGGGGGACAAAGCGGCGGGGATGCCAAGCATCTGAAAAAACAGTAGCTGAGCCGGGTTACTCGCCGGGACCAATTCCGGATGTGATACGGACGGCTTAGATGGTTGCAACCATGTTGCAAGAAGCCTGCCCCATCCATTCATGGTTGTCGTTGGGAAACATTTTACATTTTTGCTTATTGTGGTTTAGTGGGAAATCCCCACTTAACTGCTTTTTTTTTTAAAAAAAAAAAAATGTTGCTCCCCTTCCAACGTCAACCAAGCATTGTGAAGTGGGACTTGGATCTAAACCGGCCAGCTGCTTCGCAAGGTAGCCACCAGGAGATGATCGGTTTCGCGGCGCTGTGTTTGGCCTGGAGCGCTATGCATTTGGCGGCTGAAAGTGAAGACTGAAAACACGTTTCTCGCGAGAGTTCGGCAACGTTGCACACAAGACGCCATCAATGTAAAGCCTGGGCTCCTCAACCACAGTTGTTTGTCAACGCGGGGGGTCGCTGGGTTTAGTGGGGAATCATCACTGCTGCTTTTGGAGGGGGACACACCCCCTGAACAAATAGGATGATGCCCGACCCGTCCGTATGATGAGGGTTCAAGCCCTACGTGAGCGGCGCTGAAAAGGACGGCGTGATTTTGTCAGTATTCGCCCCCTGAAGGGTCCTCGGATTCTTGTGTCTAGAGTTGACTGGATGAAAAAGGACAGCCTGTTCGCCCACACAGAGCTATGGTAACAGGTAAACCCTGTTGGCATTTGGATCCAGGCGCGTATCGTTGTTCAGATGCATTTCAGATTTGGGGCGCGTGCAACTCACTCGAGTTCCCCCGCTCGTTCAAGAGTTGCCGCCGGTTTGGCAAATCCACTCGACCGGCAGTGAGACTTTCGACTTTGGACTCACATGGCTCACGGGTCACTTGCTGCTCTGGCCCCTTTCAAACGTTCCGCCCAGCCCCGCCGGATGTCGGGTCCATCCTGAAGCCGTAGAAAGTCACCCCATGTCGATGTTCCTGGCCCCACCATCTGGTGTTTCGGAGGGTGCTTTCTGGCGTTACCCCCCGGCCCAATGAATTCGGGGGTCGAGATTTTCTGAGAAAGGACACACCCAGGAAAAAGAAGGTGTCACTCGCGAAGTTGACTGTGTTGCTTGGTGGGAGAACAGGTACTTGCTCCAAAAAGGCCCAAAATTTCAGCTCCAACTAAATGGGTGTGGCTCCAAAAACCGGTACCAAAATGGAACCCTGGTAAGTGGAAACATGGACCAAAACCTGCGTATCCCTACTGCTAAATTTTGAGCCACACCCAAATAGCAGCCAAAAGGAAGTCGGGTTAGAACATCTCGTGGCACCGGTTTTTGAGCACCATGTCCAAACCCACGTTTTCGCCTTCTACCATCCAGATTCCCACCGAAACCGGGTGGAACACCATAGACCCCCACTAAACCAGTGGCACCAAACCGACACCCCCTCCATAGACCCAACAGGGGGGCCTCTTCAAACTTGACTAACTTTTTGGGAAATCAAGGGGTTTCCACTAAACCCACAAAAAGTCAAGCAAAAGCTCCAAG